TGAGACCCCTGCCCTAGGAACTCAAATAAATACTGTTCCATATCACCTGCATCAATTGTGAAAGACGTGCAGGGAAAAAGAAGAGACTAGGAGAGCTTTCCATTTAGTATTGCTAGATGTCTTTGGTCTTAATCAACTGCAAGTCCAAAATCACAGCATACATTAGTAATGTGCCAATCAAGTAATTTTGCAAGGATCTACTCCTGGATTTCATGTAGAGGCAATCCTCGATTTACAACAGTTCATTTAGTGACCATTCGAAGTTAAAACGGCACTGAAAAAAGTGACTTGTGACTGTTTTTCACATGTCCATTACAGCTTCTCTGTGGTCATGTGATCAAAATTTAGATGCTAAATCAACCGATTCATGTTTGTGATGCTTGTAGTATCCTGGGGTCACATCATCATCTTTTATGACCTGACAAGCAAAGTCAATGGGAAAGGCAGATTTACTTAACAACCATATTACTAACTTAACAACTGCAGTGATTCACTTAACAATTGTAGCAATAAAGGTCGTAAAATGGGCAAAATTTACTAAACGAATGTCTCGCTTAGCAACATAAATTTTGAACTTAATTGTGGTCGTAAGTCAAGAACTACTTGTATAACCTTTTCTTAAAATTAGGTCAATGTAATAAACTACCTTTCATGCCAGATCCTCAATCCAACTATGATATTATTGTCTAAGCGAATGGGTTAGTCCTTCCTAACTTGATTGAATATGTATCATAAAAACTAGAGATCTACTTTAACATTTTATTTCATGAGGAAACTTAAATAATTATAATCAGTTTTAAAATCAGAACAGGATAAAATTTGCAACAAAGAATATTACCAGGGAACGAAAGAAATAAAATTTGCTGTAGTTCAGTGTAATTTTGTTTTCTCTCCCTCCCCCTTAGTCTTGGCATTAAATTTATTTGAAAGTTATGTTGACGATAAGTAATTAAGCATATGAATATCAGTATTCATAAAAATGGTACAAATACTGTTTTAACGTTTTGGTTCTGTGTTTATAATGTATGGATATTGTGATGAATATTAGTAGATAGGTTGAGAGCTTCATGCAGGGAGATGAAAGATGGTAGCAAGAAATAATGTTGCCCTTCCCTGAATTTGGTGAAACTGACTGTTGTGAAGTGTAAGAGATTAACACATCAATTTTTTCATTAAAATCAATTGTAGTTTTTAAGAACACAGCAACATTTTTTGTTATTTCAATGGATAAGAAATTGTAAACTGCCAAGAACCAGTACCGTAATCACAGATTCTTTTTCTGAAAGGATTGAACAAGTAGTGATAATCTAGTCACAAAGGTTACTTTGATTTAAAAGCAGAGTGGTCAGTTGTTCGATCCAAATGAGTTTTACTTTTGTGCATATAACGGTACTCTCGAGCTCTGTATTAAGAAGCAGAACATAATAAAAAATTGTGAACTGAGAACCAAGGTTAATTACAGCAATCCATCCTGCTGCAGTTTATCTGAAATTGAAATTTTCTTAATTTATTCTAGGGTTTTGGTTTGCATAAAATCAAATGTAGCTCTTATTCTCATTTTTAAAATTTGGGAGTAATGTCTCTATTGGAGTAAGTAGAATACCTCGGTTATCTTGCATCTTTTATCAGTAATGGTAAAGTAACTCATATCTATAGATGTTTTACCCAAAAATCTATTCTGTTCATTTTGTGTAAGATGTAAAGCAATCTGGTACCAGTTTCTCAGTTCCTGGCATTGTTTATATTGACTTGGCAGATACAGTATTAAACATACAGAAGATACCAAGATACCCAAATTGCTGATTTTCTTTCACCTTCACAAATATTAGCAGATATTAATAGCACTTGAATTGTTGTTTTTGACTAGGATTTGAATGTTAGTTCTTCAGATTCTTCAGGTCCCTATTAAGGACTTGGCTTCTTCTAAAAAGCCTCATAGGCACAGTTTGAGACGTTAATAAACTTGTTATTGCAGGACAGATTGAAACCATATATTGCAGTCACAAAAGTCAAAGCCTTAATATGTCTGTTATAGAGTTCAGATTCTAAACTCCAGGCTGTTGGCAGAATTAGCCTGTAATACTGCACTTTAACCACTGTGTCCCCAGGGCTCATTGGATATGTGACTATAGTAATGGCCTTGGGAGGTGGTCAAACTAAGTTAGCGTAACATTTCTTTCTAGCTTGGGAACTGCTGGTTCCTCCTCCTTCAGCTCATTTCATACAGAACTTTCCTTTAGTAAAACTGGTCATAGCTGTTATTGGCTGGGGATTGTGGGGGATGTAAGCTAATTAACTTTGTATAACTGAATCCCAGTGGTGGGATTCAGCCAGTTCACA